TTCGCGCCGCCGCCCGGCTACGGCTACGCGCCGCCCTACGCCTACCGCGCGCCCGCGCACGCGCCGGCGCCGACGTGGCCGGCTTTCCGCGGCTACCGCGCGGGCGACCGCGGCGCCGCCGCCTTCGCGCCGCCGCCGCCGCCGCCCTACGACGGCCGCGCCTACGGCGGCCGCGCCTACGACGGCCGCGCCTACGACGGCCGCGCCTACGGCGGCCGCGCCTACGACGGCCGCGCCTACGGCGGCCGCGCCTACGACGGCCGCGCCTACGACGGCCGCGCCTACGGCGGCCGCGCCTACGACGGCCGCGCCTACGACGGCCGCGCCTACGGCGGCCGCGCGGACCACCCCTACGACGACCACCACCCCTACGACGCACATCACCCCTACGACGACCGCGCGCCGCCGACGACGGTGGTGATCTCGACGCGCGCCGGAGACCCCGCGGCGGACGACGACGACGCCGACGACAGCCTCCGCCGCGTCGAGACGAGCTCCTGAGGCGGCACCGCCGGGGCCTTGACGCGCCACATACCAAGGCCCTCGAGCGGCCGCCGACGTCCGTAACGAGCTCGAGCGCGCGCGGTCGACTCGGTTTAGGCTTCGGCGGGGTCGCCGACGGCGCGCGGCGCCTAGTCGTCTTCGAAGGACGCGCGGCTCGGTCGCTTCTTGCGGTTCGCGCCCTCGAGGATGGCCTTCTTCTTGTCCGCGGCCTGCTGCGCGGACGTGATCGAGGGCTTCTTCGAGTCGATGACGTCGATGTCGATCTCGTGGTTCCGCCGGCAGAGCACGAGGCTGACGACGCACTCGGCGATGGACACGGGCGGGTCGCGGCCGTGCGTCCGGCGGTGCTCGTTCTTGAACCGCTGCCGGTTCACCTGGGCAGCACAAGGGTGATTCAACGTCGCCTCAACGTGAGTGTTCCGCGCGCGCGCGTTCCGGAAAAAGCACCCACGCTTCGAGACCGTTCCGAGAGATGATCGCTCGTCCAAAAATCAGCCGAAACGAGTGGAAAACGGCCGAGAAAGGAGCCTTTGAAGTTGGGAAGTTCGCTCTCTTTTGCTGCCCTGCCGGTTCACGGCGATGTGGATGTTGCGCCAGTTCGACGTGCCCAGCGTGCACTTCTGCATCTGCTCCTGGAGCCGGAAGGCCGGAAAGAAGATCAGGGGGTAGCGCTGCTCGATGACCTTGAACTCCTGGAAGTCGATGATGCCGTCGTCGTTGCTGTCGAAGTTCTGGAGCACCGTCGTGAAGTTGCCCGGGAACATGGGCGTGCCGTTGTTCACGGACGACAGGAGGGCCATGAACTCCTGCTCGTCGATGGAGTTGGAGTGGTCCCGGTCGTAGGTGTCGAAGCAGAACCGGAGGATGTCGTCCTTGCTGTACATGCAGTACGTGAGCAGCACGGCGACGAACTCGTCGAACTCGATGGTGCCGCTCCCGTCGAGGTCCATGAGCCCGAAGAGGGCGTCCGTGAGGGGCGTGCGGTCCTCGCCGAGCATGCCGAAGAACTCCGTCGAGTCCATCGTGCCGCTCCCGTCGACGTCGACCTCGTCGAACTTCTTCTTCAGGTACTTGAGCTGGCGCTGGTTCAGGCAGAGGGCCTTGACGGCCTCCTTGGCGTCGGGCCGCTGGATGTAGACGTTGTTCGCCATGCCCAGGCACCTGCGAGCGGCCGCCGCGTCGCGCGGCGGGGTTCGCTACTAGGAAGGGGGCGCGGCGGGAACGCGCGCCCAGAACTTCTTCATCAGCGTGTTCTTGCCCCGCTTCTTCTTCTTCGCCGCCTTGAGCTTCGCCATGCGCTCCTCGTAGGTCTCCTCCTGCTGGGGCTTGTACTTCTCGTTGGGCCCGCCGACGTCCGCGAGCTTCTGCTTCGCGGCCTCGACGCGCGCGTCGAGGCCCGCGCCGCTCTTCCGCGGGCCGCGCTGGTTCGCCGTCGGCCGGAAGGGCTTGCCCTTGTTGTCGTCGCCGCCGGGCCGCGGGCTCCGCTGGCCGCCGCCCCCGCCCTTGTCCTTGCCCTTGTCCTTGTGGCGCCGGCCGCGGTCGCGGTCCTTGTTGTAGCCCTCGGACGCCTTGGGGCTCTGCTTGTCCCGCGACTTCGACGAGCTGCTCGACGACTGGCCGGGCTCCTCCCCGGGCCAGGCCTTGCGCGACCTACGAAAACGCTGCCATCTCCGTCGGTGCGGCGCCATGACACGACGCGGGCGCGCGCTTCGACTTGCGGTTCTCCTTGTCCTTGTGCTTCGGGGACTTGGACTCGCCGCCGCCCGGCGCGACCTTGCCGGACCGCGACTCCCGGTCCTTGGCCATGGCCGGGCGCCCGCGGGACGCCTGACGATGCCGCTGCGGGAGAGCAGCGTTTGAGCCGGATGAATGCAGCAGCCCCTGCGTTAGATATGTTTGGCAACACGCCTCAACTCGACAGCATCTTTGACAACAGTGCAGTGCGGCGACATCGAGCCAAGGACCTCTCCTGCGCGCCTCGGCAACACTGCGCGGAGCGGTTCTCGCAGCGTCGCAGCAATGGCCCAGGGCCTCAAGAAGACCTCGAAGGTCGCCCGGAAGACGAAGAACGTCACGAAGCGCCAGCGCACGGCCGCGGCCAAAAAAACCGTGAAAAAGACGATCAAGGACCAGGTGCGCAGCGGCGCCTCCCTCCCTGCCGCGCAAGCGTTGCGGCGCGCCATCGTTGCGCCGCGGCGCCGTATCGCATCGCGGCGCGCCGAGCGATGGCGCGCCGAGCGATGGCGCGCGGCGGCGACGCCCGGCCGCCCCCGACGACTCCTCCGCGCCGCGCTCCCTCTCCGATCGCGTCCCATCCCGCAGGTGAAGAAGAAGATCAACGCGCAGATCGAGAAGAACACGGGCGGCAAGGCCGCGCGCGGCGGCCAGCACTTCGAGCTGTCCGCGATCAGCGACAGCAGCAAACAGGTGTGCGCGGAGCTGCGGAAGGACGCGGGCAAGAGCAAGAAGCAGATGCGGACGCAGAAGGCCAAGGAGCGGGCCATCGCCGTCGCCACGAAGCGCGAGGAGAGCGCGGGCATCTTCGGCCCGTGAGCGCGCCGCGCCGCCGCGCCGCCTGTGTCCCCCCCCGCCCCGTTGTGCAAGAGCCGTCCGATTTCTAAAAAGCGCGAGCGTCCTACATGCCCTTGGTCTGCTCCTCGTAGACCTTGCGCGCCTCCTCGGCGGCCTTGGCGCGCATGTCGGACTGCTTCTTCATGATGGCCTCGCCGAGCTTCTCCTGCTCCTCCTGCTTGGCCTTGACCTGGGCGTCGACCTTCTCGATCTCGCCGTTGATGAACTCGAGGCGCTTGACGACGTTCTCCTTGACGTCGTCCATCTCCTGCTTGAAGAGCACGGGGCCGACGAGCTTGTACACGGCCGCGTCGTCTTTGCCGATCTCGAGCTCGCCCCTGACCATCTCGTTCTCCGACTTTTGCTGCAGGAAGCGGCCCCGCGACTGCATGAGCGTGTTGATGTGGCCCTGGAGCTCCTTGTAGGCCGCGATCTCCTCCTCGGCCTCCTGCTGCACGTTCGCCGCCATGGGCGCCGGCGGCGGCGTCGAACGGCGGCGGTTCGCGGCGAGCGCTCCGGCGCTGGCGCGGCGACGGGCGGCGGCGGCGCGGCGACGAGGCGACGCGCGCGCGAACCGGCGGCGGCGGCGCGACGGCGGCGGCGCTGCGCGTCGAGAGCTGCGGCTGCGGCGGCGACCGGTGAGAGGCTGAGGCAGCGATGCCGCGACGATGCCTCTACGTTGAAGCCGCACGATGATGGTGGGCTCCTCGGCGGGCTCCACCCTGGTCGGCTTCTTGCTGCCCATCGTCGCGTCGTGGCTGCCCGTCGTCGCGTCGTGGCCGGCGCCCGTCGTCGACTACCGCGCGGTGCTCTACACGGACAACGCGACGGCGATCGCGCTGGCCGCGGCGGCCCTGCGTACCTGGATGGCCGCCAACGATCCCGACTACCCCCTGTACCACCTGGCGCCGCCCGAGGGCCACGCCAACGATCCCAACGGCGTCACGTGGGACGCGGCGCGCGGCCTCTACCACCGCTTCTACCAGTACGACCGCACCTACGACGAAAGCTGCATGCACGGCAACTACACAGACTGCGACCGGTTCTCCCGAAACGGGACGCTCAACCCCGCGGCGCGCGCCTGGGGCCAGACGACGTCGCGGGACCTCGTCCACTGGGAGGAGTGGCCGGCCATCGTCGGCGACTCGGAGTGGGACTGGCGGGCCGTCTACAGCGGCAACTGCGCGTTGGACGACCGCGGCGACCCGGTCTGCGTCTACACCGGCGGCCGCGCGGCGCCCTGCGACACGGGCGTCTGCGCGACGTCCCGGGATTGGATCCACTGGGAGAAGCGCGGCTGCATGCTGACCGCGCCGTCGCCAAAGAGCCAGACGAACCACGACTCGGCGCTCGTGCGGCTTCGCGACGGCACCTGGGTCGTCGTCGTCGGCGGTTGTACCTACAACGGCAGTAACGTGCCCAACGGGACCTGCATGGGCAACGCGCAGCTCTGGCGCTCCGACGACCTCTCGACCTTCCGCTACTGGAAGCCCCTCGGCGCCGCGGAGGGCCCGGGCACGTACTGGGAGCTGCCGTACCTCCTGGGCTTCGACGAGCACGGGACCGCGCTGCCGAACGACGCGATCGAGGACGCGTCGACGACGGCGCTCCTCTTCGGCGAGGGCGGGAACAAGTACTTCTTCGGGTCGCTCGCAGACGACGTCTCCTTTTCGCGCGCGTGGGCGGAGCCCAAGGAGACGGACGCGTTCCCGCCGTATTATTCCTTCAACCCGCACGCGACGGACGAGGTCGACGGGACGACGCGGCGCCTCATGTTCGGCTGGATCCTCGTCTTCGGCCCGACGTCGCGCGTCTCCGCCGCGGCGGAGGCGGGCCGCGTGCCCCCCTGGGACGGCGCGCACTCGCTCTGCCGCGCGGTCACCGCCGACGTCGGCGCGGGCGCGCTCGTCCAGGCGCCCTGCCCGGAGACGCGCGCGCTCCGCGGGATCCGCGCGGGGGCCCTGGCGAACAAGCGCCTAGCCGACGGCGTCTTCGTCGGGCTCTCGAACGTCGGCGACGCGCTCGACGTCGTCGCTTCGTTTGACGTGGGCGACGCGGACGCCGTCGGGCTATCGGTGCGAGTGCTCGGCGACTTTTCTTGCGACGTCGTCTGGAACGTGTCTGCCGCGACGCTGACCGCGGGGGTCGACCCGCCCTGGCCCGCGGTGTATCCGCCCGCGCCGACCGACCCCGTCGAGTTGGAGGTGTTCGTGGACCGGTCGATCGTGGAGGTCTACTTCATCGGCGCCGCGCTCACGTCGCGCTGCGCGCTCCCGGCATCGCTCCACGACGAGCTCGCGCGGAGGGGGGCGGTTCCGAGCGAGGTCGCCTCTGTTCGCGCCTTCGCCAAGGGCGGCACGGCGACGCTGGCGCGGCTGGAGGCGTGGACGATGGGGTCGATGTGGAGTTAGTGTGTCGATGTGGAGTTAATGTGTAACTAGACCGCCTGTTGAAGCGCCCTAGATGTCGCTGGGACGCGCCGGGGCGGCAAAGGAGCTGCCACGGGTCCGCCAAGATGTCGTTCAGTACGCTGTTCGCGGACTTGGCGAATTGAAGCGGCGAACCTTCCGCCGACCACGACCGAGCTCGTTGAGACCAAAGCACGGCCGCCGCGCAAGATCAAACGACCGCGCGCGCCGGCGTCCCGTACGCGCATACTCCCTTCCCAAACACACTTTCATGTGATCGGTCGTGGTCGCGCGCGTCGCGCGTCACGGTACTGTCGTTTTCGGCGCGCGAAACCGTCGGAGGTGCCCGCGCGATCGGTCGGCGCGCGCAGTGACGTGAAAATCGTGCGCGCGCCCCGCTGGACCGCCTCGCCCGTGCCCGCGCGCGTCCCCGGGCGCCGCGCCACGCCGCGGGCGCGGCCGCCCCGACTTTTTAGTCGAAGAAAGTTCTTCGCGTAACCGATCAGCCGGTTCAACCCCGCGCCCCCGCAGGCATCACAACAATGGCCGCCCTGATGGAGGCCCCGCTGGACACGACGCAGATGGACGACGAGGAGCAGCTCGAGGAGATGGAGGAGGAGGAGGCCGGCGCGGCCCGGTGTCCGTAATCCCCCAAAGACCCAACAAGCAAACGCTCCCGCACACTCCCTCGAGTGATTTTGACATGAAGCTCACCCGTTCCCTCCGTAGGCGCCGCCTTCTTCCACGTCACGGAGCTCGAGAACCACGGCATCAGCCGCCAGGACACGCAGAAGCTCGCGGCCGGCGGCTTCTGCACGGTCCAGTCCGTCGCGTACGCGACGATCAAGAAGCTCTGCGAGGTCAAGGGCATCTCCGACACCAAGGCCCAGAAGCTGCGCGAGATCTCCTACAAGCTCGTGCCGTCGACGTTCGTCACCGCGGCCGAGGAGCTGCAGCAGCGCCAGCAGATGATCATGCTCTCGACGGGCTCCAAGGAGCTCGACAAGCTCCTCGAGGGCGGCATCGAGACGGGCTCGCTCACGGAGCTCTACGGCGAGTTCCGCACGGGCAAGACGCAGCTCTGCCACACGCTCTGCGTGACGGCGCAGCTGCCGCTGGACCAGGGCGGCGGCGAGGGCAAGGCCATGTACATCGACACGGAGGGCACGTTCCGGCCCCAGCGGCTCCAGGCCATCGCGGAGCGCTACGGCGTGAGCCCCGAGATGGTGCTCGAGAACGTCGTCTACGCGCGCGCGCACAACAGCGAGCAGCAGTGCGAGCTGCTCAAGCAGGCCTGCGCGCTCATGTCCGAGGACCGCTTCTCGCTCCTCATCGTCGACTCGGCGACGGCCCTCTACCGCACGGACTACATGGGCCGCGGCGAGCTCAGCGAGCGCCAGATGCAGCTCGCGCAGTTCCTGCGCCAGCTCACGCGCATGTCCGCCGAGTTCGGCATCGCCGTCGTCCTCACGAACCAGGTCGTCGCCAACCCCGACGGCATGTCCTTCGCCAAGGACGCGACGAAGCCCATCGGCGGCAACATCATCGCGCACGCGAGCCACACGCGGCTCCAGCTCAAGAAGGCGCGCGGCGAGAACCGCGTCTGCAAGGTCATCGACTCGCCCTCCATCGCCGAGTCCGAGGCGTCCTTCTCCGTCGGCGGCGCGGGCATCGCCGACGCCGTCGAGTGAAGCGGCCAAGAAGTCCACCAAGCGCGCCCATACGACGAGTCCCCCCCTAAGACCCACGACACCCGACATCTTCTTGTGTCTTAGAGGAGCTCCTCCGCGGGCGGCGGCGCGCCCAGGGGCAGGAGGTCCAGGAGCGTCGCTTTGAGGTCGCGCTCGCGGACGCCGCGCTCGTCGAGCGAGAGCGCGAGGCGGCGCACGGCGTCGTCGCCGACGTAGAAGCCCCAGGTCGGCGTCGTCGACGCGGCGTCCGGCGGCGCGCGGCGCTCCTTCCAGACGCGCACGGGCGACGGCGGCCGCGGCGGCGACGACGCCGACTCCGCGACGTCGAGGCGCGGGAACGTCCAGTAGACGTCGCGGTGCCGGTCGCTGCCCAGGGGCTCCATGCGCGGCAGGGCGTGGGCGCGCACGTCCTGGGCCCGCGCGCGCCGCCGCTCCGTCTCCTCGAGGCGCAGCTCGACGTCGCGGAGCGCCTCGTACGCGTCCGCGAGCTCGCGCGTGACCCATCGCTTCCGCCGCGCCTCGCCGTCGAGCGACAGCGGCGGCATGGCGTCGACGTCCATGGCGTCGTCGTCGTCCGGCGGCGGCGGCGGCGGCGGGTCGAAGACGCCCTCGAGGGCGACGGCGTCGGATTTGCGCGTCCGCGACGGCCGAGCGGAGTTCTAAGACGTCGTCGTAGTCCGGGTCGCCCTCGCCGCCGAGGCGCGCCGCGGCGCCCTTGAGGCGCTCCATGACCGCGAGGCGCGCGGGCCGCCGCGCCTGGGACGACGCGGCGCCGTCGGGCGTCGCCTGCTCGCGCCGCTCCAGCGCGAGGAAGCCGACGAACTCGACGTCGCCGCCGCCGCACGCGTCGACGGCGCGGACGTGCGCGACCTCGGCGCGGAAGCGGTGGCGCGTGGGCTGCGCCGCCGGCACGCAGGCGAGGGACGACGGCGACGCGCGCGGCGACGCCCGGGGGCTCGCGGAGGCCACGGACTCGCCCGACGGCGGCGGCGGCGACGCGCCCAAGGCGCGCGCGACCTCGGGGTCCTCGTCGCCGCCGTCGGACGGCGGCGGCGGCGGCCGCGGCGGGTCGGGCGGCGCCTCGCTGCCCGCGTCGTCGGCGGCGGACGCCGCGTCGAGCGCCGCGTCGCCGACGGACGGCGTCACGGACGGCGTCCGCGACGGCGCGTCGGGCTTCGAAGCGTCGCCGTCGCCCTTGGCGGCCTTGGCGTCGTCGTACCACTTGCGGTGCTCCGGGTTCGTGAGCACGGTGTAGCCCCGCGCCAGGTCGTTGAAGATGTCGCCGCGGCGGCCGCCGAGCTTCATGACCTCCTTAATTGTCGCGCCTTTCGAGTAGCGCTCGTAGAGCGCGTGGCAGCGGCTGCCGGGCAGCTTCGGGTTCCGCGCGTCGACGGCGCAGGGCGCGTCGCAGGCGATGAGCTTGTCGAGCGCGGACGACAGGGGCGGCGGCGCCGCGCCGGGCCGCGGCCGCGGCCGCTTCCTTGGGTTGCCGTCGCCGTCGTCGTCGGGCCGGGGCTCCTTGGGCTGCTTGGGCTTGCGCTTCCGCGGCTTCGCGGGCTTCTTGGCCTTGGGCAGCTCCACGGGCTGGGGGACGATGCCGTTGGCGAGGTCCTCCGCGGCCTTGGCCTCGGCCTCCGCCTGCTGCGCGGCGAGCTCGACGGCGAGGCGCTCGCGGACCTTGGCGGACGTGTCGCGCTCCTTCTCGGCCGCGCGGCGCTTCCGGTCGCGCTCGTCGGCCTCGTGCGTCGCGTCCCGCAAGGCGCGGCCCTCGGCGGCCTCGTCGACGAGCGTCGCGCAGCCGTACGACGCCGCGTAGGCGTCGCACAGAGCTTTGAGCACGGCGACGCGCTCGCGCGCGCCGAGGCCGCCGTAGGGCAGGCCCTCCGAGAGCCACTTCGACGCGCGGTCGAGGTGGCCGTCGACGTGGCCGTCGCAGGTCTCGCCGTCGCGCGCGGCGAGGCGGCTGCCGACGGCGCCCGCGAGCGCGGCCCACGTCGACGGCCCGACGGACTCCTTGGGCGGCCGCGGCAGGCGCAGCTCCGCGACGGGCGCGAGCACCTCCGGCGGCGCGTCGATGAGGTCGCCGAAGTCGTCGTCGTCGGGCGGCGCGTCCTCCGGCGGCGGCGGCGCGTCGCGGAGCTCGCGCTTCCGCTTCTTCGACGCCTTCCGGTCCAACGCGTCGGCGACGAGCGCGACGCGCATGGCCTCCTTGGGGAACGCGACGGCCGTCGACCCGCCGAGCAGGGACACGGTCGTGGAGGTCGCCAGAGCGTACTCCTTCTGCGTCGTCTTCTTCGCCTTGCGGCCGCGGCGCCGGTCGCCGCCGCTCGGCCGCTCCGCGCGCTCGGGGAAGAGGGACGCGTCGGCGCCGCCGGGCTTCTTCGCTTGGGCCTTCCGCTTCGTCGGCCCCCGCTTGAGGGGCTGCTTGGGCGGCGGCGCGGGCGCGGCCTCGTCCTCGTCCTCGGTCTCGTCGTCGTCGACGGGCGCGCCCGCCGGGGGGCGCAGCGGCGCGGCCTCGAGGGGGACCAGAGATTCGAGCACCTCGTGGAGCTCCAGGTCCTCCTCGTCGCCCGCGAGCTCGCCCGTCTCGAGCGTCACGTGCCACAACGCCGCCGCGTTGCCCGCCGCGTCGACGTAGTCCGACGCCGTGTCGTCCAACCAGCCGGCGACCAGGCCGTCGCTGTGGCTCGCGACCTGGCCCGCGTCGTCGAGCACGGACCGGCGCACGGTCCGCCCGACGTACTCGGAGCCGTCGACGCGCCAGACGTCCGCGGATGGCTTCGACGACGCCTTCGACGACGGCGCCTTGAACTCGTCGTCGCTGTCGTCGTCGGCCGCGGCGTCGGCGGAGTCGTAGGCGTCGTCGTCGTCCGCGGCGCGCTTCTGCTGCCGGGCGACGCCGTCGACGTAGCGCTCCCAGGTCCGCGTCGCCTCGTCGGCGTCCGCGCGCCGCGCCGCGTCGCGGTCGGCCGCCGCGCCCTTCCAGGCCCGGGGCCGCGCCTTGCGCGCCGCGGCGGCGAGCGACGCCGCGGCGCCGCGCGCGGCGGCCGTCGCGTCGAGGGCCGCGAGCCGCTCGAGGAAGCGCTTCGCGCGGGGCACCGTCGTGAGCCGCGCGGCGCAGCGTAAACAGTCGCGCGCCGCGCCGTCGCCCGCGGCGCGCTCGCACTGGTCCACGGCGCCGACCCAGCGCCGCGTGTCCGCGTCGGCCTCCGCGCCGCGCCGCAGGTCCTTGACGATGGCCTCGACGGCCGCGGCCAGACCGTCGGGCGACGCGTCCGTGTCGTCGTCGGCCTCGCGTATCAGGTCCACGTCGTCCGCCGCGAGGCGCGCCTGGGCGGCGCGGGAGAAGCGCCGCGTGACGCGCGCCCAGGGGTGCGCCGCCTTGCGCTTGCTCTTCCGCTTCGCGCCGCCGGACTCCTCGTCCGACGACTCGGCGAAGAACGCCGCGTCGCGCGTCGCGTCCAACGGCGCCCACCAGCCGTCGGCCGACGCGTCGTCCAGCAGCACCTCCAGCAGCGCGCCGTGGGCGCGCCGCAGCGGCTCCAGGGCGCCGCGCGCGCCGCCGAGCGCGCCCAGAGGCGCCGCCAAGGCCGCGCCGAAGGCCTCCAGCGGCGGCGGCGGCGCCGGCAGCTCCTCGACGGGCGTCGCGTCCTTGTCGACGCGCTTGAGGCCCAACGCCGTGCGCCGCGCGCCGATGGCGCGGAGGAGCGCGTGGATCGCGAGGACGTCGCCGACCGCGTCCCTGGGCACGCCCCGGAGCAGCGAGTCCGACGGGTCAGAGGCCTCGGGCCGCGGCGGCAGCGGCGGGTCCGGCGGCGGCTCGCCGTCCAGCAAAGCGTCGTCGACGGGGTAGCGCTCCGCCTGCTTCCGCTTCATCTCGGCCAGCGCGCGGTTCGCCGCCGCGGCGGCCAGCTCGGAGTCCTTCTCCGCGCGTCTTTGCTTCGCGTCCTCGTCGCGCTCGGCCTTGCGCGTCGCCGCGTCCTTGGAGCGCTTGTCGCGGCGCGCCTCGGCGTCGGCCTCGCGCTCCGCGCGCTTCGCCAGGGTCTCCGCCTCCTTGGCCGCCTTCTTCCGGCGCCGCTCGGAATCCGCGGCCGCGCGGCGCTCCGCGGCGGCCGTCGCGTCGCGCAGCAATTCCTCGAGGCGCTGCGTGGCCTTGACGAGGCGCTCCACCGTGCGCCGCTCGCGCTCCACCTCCTTGAGCAGGTTCTGGTGGCGCGCGACGGCGACCTGGTGCGCCTGCAACGCCGCGCACCGGACG